TACGAGCGCGATTTTTTTTCCAAAATTGACGCTAAACTAGAATTTTGCTCGTTGCTCAGAGTAAAACCTAAGAAGCATATGTAGATGCCCTACTAATGGTGCAAGGCTACACGTATATCGAGCCAGAATATGGAAAAGTCTACTCATTGCAGCAAGAAACATTCTGAAGAGTATTATTCATTTTGGGTATAGATACAGATATTGTTAGCTTCAATTTATAGAGAAGTTTAAGTGCTTAAGGAGAATTCTGTCAGAATTCAATGAATATTCATTAAGATCTACCCTGTACGTTTAAAAGGGGATCGGTTGAATTTGAAGGCTGTTTCTTTCATTTGCTCGTGTGCCATCAATTTGAGACGCAGAAACTTGACTTGAAGAAGTGCAGTTTATTTTAATTTGTTTGGGGCACATATTATATCAAAGAATATTGCCATTTCTCAGTTTGCTATCACAGTTTCTTAATTATGAACGCTTTCCTATTACTGTATTTTCTCAACTTTAACTCAGAGTAGAGTATTTATAAAAAGGAGAAACCTTATGAGGAAAAGAGTGTGGGTCATAGAAAAGGTTCTTTGCCTAAGCAAGTCGCCAAACTATGGATGTTTTATGAACTCTCCCTTTTGTCTTCTTCAAAGTTTCTGGTCTCATTTATTATCATTCAACAAACTTGAGCATATCTTTCTCCTCAGGATTTGACCTTGCGAACGATCTACGCGCTATCTTTGCTAGTGTTCCGACCGGGAATGTTCAGTCCATCGTTGATAACCTCTCTAACATTGTGTGCTTGAAACGTCTAGTGGAAAATGTGAGTTTAGAACTATTGAAAATATCATTATCAAATACAATGTGGAACTTGCAGCATTTTGTTTCGCCTACTATTGACGACTAGAAATAAAAATACAGAATTCTGAGCAGTTCACTTTCTTACATTTTGAACATTAAAATAACGCTAAGAAATCCGTCTTGCTATAGTTACCTATTCCAAAAATTTCCGAGAGAAACCTTTTCATACTCGAAATGGTCCTGCATAAGAACTCCATCAAGAATTAGAAGTTCATTTTTGTCAGCGCAGATGACTTCACACACTTTTTATTTTTTATGAAGTATTTTCGCTCAGATGCTGGAAATTGACCGCCACTTTCTGAAAGTATCAGGTGAGTTTGTACTACAAAGTAGTGACCTACCTCATTAGTTGCGACGAAAATGCTTGCAGATCACCTAACTCCTGAAGTCGACAGCGACGGAGAAGAGATTGAGCCAACCGTACACTTCAAACTTAGCGATCTGAGCGAGCGTCTACTCAGCATAAAGTTGGACAAATCTGAGCAAGTAATAAAACCCTATCTAGTTTCACGTAGAAAAGTGACAATATATTATTTTTGCTTTATAAGTTAATTTGCTTCAAAACTTAGACTTTATTCTCCCTCGTTATCTTCACACAACACTTGATAATTTCTAATTTAATCGTTAGATTTTACTTTCAGTGCAGTAACTGGTCAATTCGTCCTCTTCGTATAAAGCAAAAACGCTATGCTGCTATGGATGCTTACATTGTCGTTGAATTGTATGCTAAAATTCGCGAGATGGCTGAGTTTGTGGAACTTTTTCTTATCTATTCCACTATGGCATCATTTGCAAACACAGTTTTCAAATTCAGAAGGCGTAGAATGGACTTTGAAAAGTTGGTGGAACTTTCTATGGTAAATGGGAAAAAGAGAGAAAAAAGTAAAACGAAGAAGGAACGAGTTAAACTGGATGATATGACATGGGCTGAGATTGTTGAAGTAAGAGAATCAAAAATAGTGATATACAGTTGCGTTCTCATCAATTCTCTTGCAGAAGCTTAGCGATGTTCAGTCAGGGACAAGGCCTGCAACAGAGCTAATGTGTATAGTTGACTCAATGCTTCTTGGACTTGGGAAACAACTACGGTATGAAATTTCGAAGCTGTATTTTGTTTTGAATTCTTTTTTTTT